AAAAAAAAAAAGCCAGAAATTATAATTACATTGCAGAATAGTCTGTAAGAGTCTTTAGGGATAAACAGAAGGTTATGGAAATTTGGAAGAAAGATTTCTCTGGGCTTATGGAATCAGGAGAAGGTTGATGAACAAGTGTGCTTGAGTGATACCTGGTGAGGTTTGGATTGGCAGAGGGGAGTTCAGTGTTTCTCTGTAAACCCTCATAGGCTCCTGTTTTCCCCTTTTATAGACTCACTGTCCTGTGTTGAAATCATTTGTTCTGAGGCAAACTTAGAGCATGCTGTAGGCCCTCAGAAAATGTTTGTTGGGTAAATGTATGAATTCCTGGTAGAAGGGTTATTTCTGGAGGTCTTTGAGCTCAGCAGTTGTGCAGAGTGAATTGAAGACACCCCTAACTTATTTTGTTATCAGAGCCTTAAAAGAGCATTATCAGGCCATGTGGTTGTATAGTTAAGGTTCAGTGTTTGAAGTAAGAGCAGTCATTGTGGGCGCTCGTTTTTCCTCTTGCTGCTCATGTCTTTTCTAGCAGATGGTCTGACAGCTGGATAGAAGCATATTTTTAGTTTGACTCTCCTGCACTTATGGAATGGTTTTATCTATTTGTAGCTATTGGGGTTCTTTCTTCTCTGAGGCCACCAGACGGCTTTTACACACAGTAATGAGCCCTCTTCAGGCTGGGAAATTGGAACCTGTGTTTTAAAATGCTGTGATCACTGGATAGAAGGAAACATGGCTCCATTCTGTTCTCTTGCCAGGTGGAATTATTTTTTTCTTTATGATGGTTCCAAGGTAAAGGAAGAAGGAGATCCAACAAGAGCTGGCATTTGTTATTTTTATCCTTCCCAGGTAAGCCACACAGCATTTTATTGTTCAGTGGGGATCCATCCTGTTGCCTCCAACTAGTGGTAACATTTCAAAAGTATAGGTTTTAGATTAGGACAGTTCTCTGCCAATCCAGGCATTTGACATTTCTACTATCTTATTCCTAGTTGTATTATTTCTTACTGTTCTGGTCTTAAAATTCCTAGGCAGTTCAGTATTTCTGTCATCCCTATCTTTCTGTTTCCATTGTGGTTTTTTGTCTGTCTCTCTCTGCCCCCAGTTTTTTTGATCACTCATTTTTAAAAAGCTTTTATTCAAACATATACAAAAGTAGAGAGGAGAGTGTCTAGCTTCAAAAGCTGTATACTTTTCACCAATATTATATGACCTATCCTAACCTCCTCTTTCCTTTTCTCCCCCCACTGGGGCAGATTCTATTTGTTGTGTCATCTTGCCAGCAACAAGTAACATCTCTAACTGAAAAGGACATTGTTTTAAACATTACCACATCTAGCAAAAGTTATAATAATTAGGCAGGGCATTATAGGTGGGGCGTCCTATAATCTCAGCATTTTGGGAGGCTGAGCTGGGAGGATCACTTGAAGCTAGAAGTTTGAGACTGGCCTGAATAACATAGCAAGACCCCTATCTCTATAAAAAAAAAATAGAAAAATTAGCAGGGCATGATGGTGCATACCTGTAGGTCCAGTTACTCAGGAGACTAAGCTAAGAGGATCGCTTGAGTCCAGGAGTTAGAGGTTGCAGTGAGCTGTGATAAAGCCACCATACTCTAGGTTGGAGTCTTGACTCTGTCTCAAAAAATCAATAAATCAATCAATCGATAAAATGAAAAAAGTTGTAATAATGAAAAACAATAGTTCCTTAATATCATGAGATACTCAGACTATATTCAAATTTTTCCATGTTGAGCCTGATCCAGTGGCTCATGCCTGTTACCCCAGTACCTTGGGAGGCCAAAGTGGAAGGATTACTTAAGGCCAAGAATTTGAGACCAGCTTGAGGAACATAGTCAGACCTTGTCTCTACCAAAAAAAAAAAAATAGCTGGCCATGGTAGCATACACCTGTAGTCCTAACTACTCAGGAGGATTGCTCGAGCCCAGGAGTTTGGGGTTATAGTGAACTTTGCTCGTGCCTGGCATTCCAGCCTGGGCAACAGGGGGACACACTGTCTCTGAAGACAAAATACAAATGACAAAACTGTAAATTTTTCCTTGTTGTCTCAGATGTTACTTAGTATGTCCTGCCTTCCATTCATCTGTCTACTCATTTTTCTGTCCTTTTATCTCTTTGTTTGTTTGTCCTAATCAGAATCCAGATAGCATTCACCTATGTTATTTGATTATTTTGTATTTTTCATCTTTTTTAATAACACTCTTCATCTACCTGCTTATCCTTTTTATCCCCCCATGCCATTGAATTATTGAAGAAACCAAGTAATTTGTACAGGAGAATTTTAGAATGTCCCACACTCTGGATTTGGCTGACTACTTCCTCATGTGATAGCATTTCATGTCCTCGTCCATTGTATTTCCTTTAAATTCATAGTAAGATCTAGAGCCTTGATTAGGTTCATGTTCAGTTCTTTGAGGCATTGAACATTCTTCAGTATGTGGTATGTATGTTTTTGCTTGCATTGCATAATGTCTGGCTGTCTTACCTGGCTTAGTTAAGGCTAAAATCAATTAGGAGATTCTGTATATTAACTCATGTGATAACATGCTGAGTTCGAAAATTGGGATTAATCTGGGCCACTCTGGCCACTCCAGGCAATGGATTTGAATAGGAATGAAAGGCTCATGTTTCTGATGAAGCAAGTGGCTGTAATCTTAGGAACAAAACACATCTCTGTGCAGTTGTTGGCTCATGTGTTCACTGTGGGTATTCTCTATGTCTGGATTTGGCCTGTGGGCTTTAGTTTGCTCTAAGAAATGATGCAAGAGTTTAAGAATTTCAACTTGATTTCTGGAATGTGCTCCTTTCCCACAGACCCTGCTTGATCAACAGGAGTTGCTTTGTGGACAGATTGCTGGAGTTGTCCACTGTATTTCTGACATTTCTGGCTCTCCTCCCACTCTTATTCGTCTACGGAAACTTAAGTTTGCCGTAAAAGTCGACGGATATTACCTTTGGGTAAGTTGAACAGGCCGAAATCAGTGCTGAAGTGTTGCGATGATAAACTTTAGAAGGTTATACTTTTTGTGGATCTCGAATTTAGATTCTGTCCCCTATTGTCCTTGTACTGTGTTCAGTAGTCGTCCACATTTCCTGTGACAATCTGCCAGTGCCTGTCATAATCGAGTACCGTTCAAAACAGTTCTAACATAGCCTCCATCACACATGGCTGGTTTCTTCTTTTTGGTGTTTTGTTTTGTTTTGCAAGACAGACTAATCTGTGAAAATTCTGTGTACTCTATATCATAATTGAGTTTTTATCTCCATCTCTTCTTTTTTATACTTCCTATACTTACTGGGAAGTGACCCACCAAAGACGTTGATGGATATATGTTAGGTTTAAAAACCTATTTTTAAAAAAAGAATAAAAACTATTCCTTTTTTATTTTTTATTTATTTTTTGAGGCAAAGTCTCACTTTGTCACCTTCAGTAGAGTGCTGTGGTGTCACAGCTCATAGCACCTCAAACTCTTGGGCTGAAGTGATTCTCTTGCCTCAGTCTCCCCAGCAGCTGGGACTCTGGGACTAGGGTGCCTGCCAGTTTTATTTCTTTTTTTTTTTTTTAAGGGACGGGGGTTTCACTCTGGCTCAGGCTGGTCTTGGACTTCTGAGCTCAAGCAGTCCACTCACCCTGGCTTCCCAGAGTGCTAGAATTACAGGTATGAGCCACCATGCCTGGCCAAAAAACGATTCCTTTACATCTAGTGATACCATATTATCTAAAGTTCTATTTTCCCTTGCCTACATTTATTTTAAGGCTTTCTAAGGTGAAATGATGCTTAAATGTGGGGTGGTATGTTCAACTTTGTAGGTATTATTCCCAACATTTTATTACAAAAATTTTCTAACATATTGAACAGTTGAAGGAATTTCACAGTGAATACTTACATACCTCCATGATTCTTCATTAGCATTTCATTAGTTATACTTGCTTTATCATGTATCTTTATCCATCCCTTTCTCCTCTCATCAGTCCAGATGTTTTTTATCCTTTTTAAACTTGCACATATTAGTGTACTCCTCCCCCACCCCCAAATGCTTCATCATGTCTGTCATTAGGGTCAGTGTTGGTTTGTGGTTCTTTTTGTCTTTTGAGGGAAAATTTATATACAGTGAAATACACGAGTCTTGATGTACCATTTGATGCATTAGGACCAATAGTACACTGTACATCAGTCCTTGTTAAGATGCAGAATATTATCATCTCTCCAGGAAGTTCCCACATCTTTCCCTAGTCATTTTTCCTCCTCTTTCTAGGCAATTATTGCTCTTAATTTTTTGCTGTCAATGTTCTAGAACATCCCATGAGTGGAATAATACATATCAGATTATATACTTTATACTTGAAGGGGTATCTAACCTGTTGCCTGTGGGCCAACTGCTGCTTTTGTGGGGACTTTTCTTTGCCTATTTGTGGTGTCAAATATCACAAACAGCATACAGAAACCTTTTCTTTGCTAATCAGCTTTTGTTAATGTTGGTGTGCATATGTACTTAACCCGTGGCCCAAGACAACCCTTATTCTTCCAATGCATGGCAGAGAAAATAAAAGGTTAGACACTCCTGTTTATAGGCTTTTGTCTTACCACCTAACATTTATAAGATTCGTTCAAGTTGTTGCATGAATGGTATTCATTCCATCTTATTATTAAACAGTATTCCATTGTCTACATATATCATAGTCTGTTGGTTCTCTTTTTGATGGACACCTGAACTGTGTCTATTTGGGGCATTAAGAATGAGATTGCAAGGAATATTCTCCTATGAATCTATTTGTGGATTTATATGTCAGGGCCCCAGGACTGGCCAGGTCTCTGGCCTATGTATTGTCTGGAGGGGACCGCTGCTTTATCTCCCTTGGGAACAATTACCCTTAGGTGCCTGAGGGCTACTTGCCTTAGCAGAAGAGAGAGAAAAAAACAGTCTTCCAGCGAGAGAAACAGTCTTAATAGGAGAGTAAATTTTAGTAGTCTTTGTAGCAAGATGCTCTGCGAGGAGAAGCAAAATAGTCAGAGTGAACCAGTCTGTGAAAGAACAGCATGCATGCTCCCCGACTCACCTCTCCTGCGGCTACTTATAGACTTAATCCCATGGCTGTTTATACCCCAGGTGTAGAGCCTGCCAATCACTGATGTTCTTGTCTCTCCAGCTCTCGTGTTAAGGAGGGCCGAATCCCTTCCCCATGCCATGTTCTGAGCTTAACTCTCCCTTCTGTCCTTGAGCTGTATGGTCTGCTACATTTATGTTTTCAGTTTTCCTGGGTAAATATCCGGGTGTGGAATTGATGGGTCATGCAGCAGGTGTGTTCTTGATTGTGGGGGGAAGTTGCTAGCTAGACCTTTCCTCCAATGGCAGTACCATATCGTATTCCCACCACCAGTGGATGAGAATTCCAGTTAGTTTGCATCTTCATCACCATTGATTTGTCAGTCTGTTTAATTTTAGCCATTCCGCAGGGTGAATAGGGGTGTGTTATTGTGACTTTCTTCTCTTTTTTTTTTTTGTTACTTGTGATTTCCATTTGCATTTCTCAGATGACTAATTATATTGAGGCTTTTCATGTGTTTAATGTCCA